AGTAAACAGGAGCAGAGCAAGAGAAGGCCCTTTTGCCTAGTTCAGCCCGCACTGAGGGGACACTGCATGTAATAATATCCTGGGAGCACACGCTGTAGCTGCACTCACGCAGAGACATGTAGGAGGATATGTATGAAGGCAGTAGACCAAGAAGTCCAACATTTTTCAGTCAGGTCATCTGGACAGTTTCTTTTTTGTGCTGAAACGTTTTGCCTTCGATCCGGAAGGCTTCATCAGTCAAGGAAACACACAATAAAAATGATTCTTCCCCCAACAATTTACTCCAAAGTGGAACAAACCAGTTCTGCTTGTGATAAGATGGTCTCTTTGGTACGTCCCTCCTCCATTGTCAGCCCTCTTCGGGCCGGCAATGACTGAAAAATGTTGACTGAAAAATGTTGGATTGTATACCTGGATTATTGAGCATGGACTTTGTTGTTTTCAACCAGTTTGACACGACTGTCAACAAGGAAGAGGGCCAGCAATGGAGGAAATTATGCCCTGTCTAGGACACGGCGTGAGAGATCTTTTTTTATACCATCTCTTCTCATGTTTTCTTCTCTTTTCTCATCCAAGCAAAATATTATTCTGAATAAGAATAAGAAAGCCGCGGTTTTTTATAGTAGCAGCTTCGTGCACTCCGTCCATCTTTCGGACGACTGTATGTACATGTTCTCGTTGTATCTCGGTGCAATGATAATAAAACTTATTCTGATTCTGATTTTGATTCTGAATATGATGCCAGTCAAAGTTAGATAAATCCTAGAGGAATGACTGTTCACAAAAATGTTTCAAATTCATTTTTTGAATTAATCTGGGCTAAGGATGTGGAAGTTTAATGTCTCTGAGAGCCGCTATTACACAGTAATTACTTAAAATGTTGGCAAAAACACCTATACCGAGGAATTTGTGAGGCATTTTTGTTAGAAATAGGTCTAAGATGGAAGATTTTTCATGATAGTTATTGTTCCGTCTGGTAGGAGAGTCAATGATTTGGGTCAGATTAAGTGACAGGCAACATTCCTTGTATTATCACAGATGGGGGTCGAATTTTCCCAGTTGAGATTTTAATCTCAAATGGGAAAATTCCATTAATTATACAGTCGGGTTACACCCACTGCAATAGGCAATAGCACTCTGGTTAAGATTAGGGGGCACGACTTCTGATGTGTCAGGTAAACGGACACCAGAGGTCAGTTGTTGGGCAGTAGTTGTCAAGTAGTTGTTGTCAAGGCAATTGCTGAGATGAGCAGTTGCTGAAAGGAGCTTTCTGGAGAGAGCAGTCTCATGATGGAAGAAATTGTCCTGTTGGAGAGTTGGCTCTGAGCCAGCCTAGCTGAGAGATGGAGAAAGTCCTTAAAATGTTCAGACACCCTGAGAGTCATACCCGCAAAGCTGAAAGAGACGAAGTCCCCGAAGGAAAACATCCCTCTTCCGGTAACAACGTGAACCTCTGGCTCAGGTCATCGCATCCGCTATGATAATGAGAGAATGGACATCTCCCAGGTAGGATAAAACATCTTCCTTCTGCTGATGAAACAAGTGCCAACTGAGTTTGTTTAGACATAATTTAGTTCACGAATCTGAAATAAAGCTTACCTAAATTTTAACGTTAGAGCTAGAAGCTTAGTCCAAATTCAAAATACTCTTCTCAAAGTCTTCAGACTACCTATATTATTTACCCTTTTGGTATATATGAACAATATGAAATATGAAAATTCAAATTTTATATATGCCATATATGCATCGACCTTTCCGCTCTAGCCCTGTCAGAAAAACAAAGAGTCACAAATCTGGGAGTGATAATGGACCCTTCCATGAAACTCAGCAGTCAGGTAAACATGATCGTTAAATCCTATTTTTACCAACTGAGGCGACTTTCTAAGGTGAAGCCCATTTTGTCAAAAAATAACCTGGAGACAGTAATACACGCATTCATTACATCTAGGCTTGATTACTGCAATTCGCTCCTGTTTGGTATCAGTCAGATCTTGATTGCACGACTACAACTGGTCCAGAATGCAGCAGCCTGATTTTTAACCAGTACAGGCTAGGGATGCACCAATCCACTTTTTTTAACTTCCAATCCGATCCCGATACCTAAATCTGAATATCGTCCGATACCGATCCTGTTCCGATATGATCATCATTGATTTTATATGAGGCTGTAATAATCTCCTCTCAAGTACAATTTGTACAAATATATGCATGCATGTCCAAAAAGGCAACTTGTGGTTTTATTAATGCTGGATAAGTTTTAACGTTACAATTAAATTCTGCTAACACAAAACATGTTTTTTTTTTTATTCCTAGCTTTAAAGTGGATATTAAAGTGATTAATTTAAGTGATTGTTTAAAGTTATTTTATATTTTTTTAAATAAGGGGCAGATCTAAGAATTTTTTTCTTCTTTCTGCACTCTTTTCATTCAATGTTTTCTTTTTGATGATGTTTTTTTAAATTTTGTTTCTTTAAAATGAATGAATAAATTAATTAAAATAAAATAAAATGTTAATTGGCTTCAAACACCTGCTAAGTTCATGGCACAAACCAACAGACATGTCCCTGTTTTTAGTATTTTACATCACTTTATAATGTAGCTGTTTTTGTTTCATTTTTTTTAAATATAATTTTCAAATCATGCTTTTTTATGATTGTCTACTGTTGTACTGATAAATATCTTCTGCAGGGTAAACTATATCTTGGCTGCAAGTATAAAGCTGAGAAATCCTTAATTTTCTACAACTGATAGTGGTTGATCATTAATTATGAAGTTTAACAACTTCTCTGTAAACATTTGAGCTCCGTGGTTTCAGCGATGTCTTCTTCTTGTTCAATCCGAAGCAGGCAGCCTGATTTCGGTCAGCTGCGCTGAGTCTGCCCCTCCTCAGAGACAGGCAGATTGAACGCGGCAGATTAGACGCGGCTGGCTGGGGTCGAGTTGGCTGTTGTGGGTTGAGCAAAGAGTTGCGCCCCGCTGAAACCACGGAGCTCGAATATCCAACGTAAAACTAACTTTACCGCGGTTTAATCTGGTACTATCGCTCTGCAGATATTGCACGTTGTTGTCTTGTTTTGTGGTGTTTCTAGTGTAAAATACTTCCACACAGCGGACATGTTTTGATGAAAAGTTGGTTAGCTGTTAGCCACAATGCTGCTCACTCAGCCCTCACGTTGTAGCTGGTTGCAAACTATGAAATGGATTTCCTGAATGTGAGGCGGGTCTTATTACTCTGGGCTCATGAGACATGCCTCTGTTCAGGAAATCCATTCCATAGTTTGAAGCCAACATGCATCATGGATCAGAAATATCGGCAGGTAGGATCGGAAAAATCTGATACGTAAATTATGCTGGTATCGGAGGCCAATACCGATACTGTATCAGATCGGTCCCATCCCTAGTACAGGCAAAAGAGAACACATTACACCAGTCTTGGCCTCCCTGCACTGGCTACCGGTTCACCTTCGAATCCAGTTCAAAATACTCCTGTATGTCTACAAATAGCTGAACAGTTTCGCCCCCCCATCTCTCTGATTTGTTACAGCCATATGTCCCACCATGTTCTCTGAGGTCAGTTACTTCTCACAGTTCCAGGAACTCGTTTTAAGCGCAGAAGTGGCAGGGCCTTCTCTGTAGCAGGCCCAAGACTTTGGAACGAGTTACCTCTGCTTGTCAGACAAGCCCCCTCCCTCTCGGTTTTCAAATCCCATTTAAAAACCCACTACTATTACGTAGCATTCAACACCAGATGATCTGTGTTTTGAACCTGCATACTCCACACTGGTCAGTCGTTATATTTATTATCTGCATCGTTTTTATGTCTATATTCTGATTTACTTCATTTTGTATATTGCTTTGTGTGTTGCTTGTTTTTCTATCTGTACAACATTTTGGTTGGCCTTGTCGCTGTTTTAAGTGCTCTATAAATAAAATGGTATGGTATATTGTCATTATTCAAACTGAAAATAAACGTTACTGAATTGTGTATTTAAATTTCCGGATTTTTTCTCTTTTCCTCGAGAGAGGGAGATTAAATTTGTTACAAGGACTCATGCATATGTTTTGGGATTGAGGCTGGTCAACATTTATTACATAACTTGAACGGTTAGTGTATACACCTGCTAAAAGGTGTTCAGACCAGCCTTCCCACTACATATTATTTTATTGGCGTCCAATGTGGGGCAATGTTTGATTTACCCGTGAAGAAAGACAAGAATGTTTTAACACGTTGATTAATTTTTGGACTGAGTTACAAGCAAAAAAGTTTCTCTTTATACCTCTGCCCTGATGAAGCAGAGGAGGGAGGGACCGCTGCAGGTCTGTATGTGTGTATTCTTTGTGCTCCGTTTGTGCTATGTGCTGCTGTGAAGGTAAATGCTGTTTTTCTCTGATTCGTGTGCTATTAAAATTTCTAGAAACTGGTACTCTAAAAAGATTGCTTAGCGCTGATGATAAGTATTGGATCCAAAGTTTTAATGCCTTTGGGGCCAGGCCGGGCGCGGGTTAGAAATGATTGCTCTAATTTCAAGCAAACCTCCTGTTGGAATCTCAGAAGTAGGCTTTTAACTATGCAAAACACACCCATCCAAAACAATCTTCATCATGTACAACAATCAAATGTTTTAGACCAGATGGCCATCTTGCTACTCACAGACACAGCCTGAGGACAGCCAAGGCCAAAGTGGTTCAGAAAATGGGTTGTAAGCTCAATCATCCAAGTATGCAACAACAAAAAATGTTAAATCATGTCATCTGGACCAGTTTCTGTAAGTGAAAATGTTTCATAAACTGGTCCAGATGACATGATTTAGCCTTTTTTGTTGTTATCTACCTGGATGATTGAGCTTACAACCCTTCTATTATTGAGCATGTGTACCCTTGGTCCAGCTATATAAGACCCATGAATCACAGCTCAGTTGCTGAAGAAACAAATAAATGCAATAAATACACATATTTTAAATTTCCTAATAATTATTTATTGATTTTTTTTGTCTTGTCAGATCATGAGTATATTACATAAAGCACACCGTCCTTCAGCTGAAGCTAGAGAACTCTACAACCTCCTCAGCTCACCACATGTCCAGGTTTGAGATTCTCTCCAACCTTTGAGTAACTCATATCTAATGTTCTGTTGGACTCTTTTTAGTGGTCTCTGTGTTTGGCAGGCCCTGCTATCATCCCATGACAGTGTGGCTCAGTCGGACTATTTACCTGTCCTGCCACCCCTGCCTGATGGTTTACCTGAGGATGAAGAGGCAGTGAGGATTGTTTGTCTTGTTAAGAATAATCAGCCTCTAGTAAGTTTATATATATACACAACCTTTAAAGATGTGCAAAGATTTGATTTTCTGCATTGATTTGCTGACAAACAATCATAAACATTTTGTGTAGAATATTTGTACAAAAACCTTGGAATCTTTGGAATCATCGCATTGAAAACCAATATTTTATCAAATATATTTTTATTCTGATTGATTTTAAAGACTCATTGACATTCACAATTCAACCCAGTCTTTTTAATAAAGGTATGGACCATTTGTCATACTTGTACAACCTTTATGGGTGTACTTATACTCCAACATTACAAGAAAAAGTGATATCAACAGCAGGAAATAATTTCTATCTCCATCATCTACCATTGATCTATAGCCAGGTTGCAGAGGCAACAGGTCCAGAGAGAAACCCAGAATAATAACCCAAACCCCCCCCCCCCCCCACACACACACACACACACACCCGCATGCAAAGGCACCAATGGCTTGCATAGGCCAGGCAAGCTTAGTCTTGTTCCTTGAGGGCCAGTATCCTGCAAGTTTTAGTTGTATATCTGCTTTGACACTCCTGATTTGAATGAATGAGTAATTAACAGGCTTCTGCAGAACTTTAAGACCTGCTGAATTGCAGGAAACGTAAAAAATGCACAATAGTGGCCCTTGAGGACCAGGATTGAGCCCCACTGGCATTGTCCATTATTTTTCCATTTCCTTCATCAATTTTGGTTTGCTACATTTCCAGAAACCAAGAAAAAAATGGTCTCTTTGTGAAACTTGATTTTGAATATTGTACATTGATTTTAATAATAGTATAGACTAGAGGAGTAGTGGTACAGAGGTTAGAGAGTTCAACCTGTTATCGGAAGATTCTAATCCCCCTTCTGACCTCATCATCAAAATGTGGGTGGAGAAGATGAAGCATCCACAACTGCCTCCACCCTCATTTGCCCTACTCTGGCTCCTTGCGCAAAGCCTTTAATTCCCCATCTGCTTCCTTGGGCACCCTATATGGCAGTCTTCTGCTCCACACAGAGGGCTGTGGTAGCTCAGTGGTCCACAGTTGCATCATGAAGGGCATCTGGCATAAAATAATTACCAAATCCTCATGCGAGTTCACTCACTGTGGCAATAATCCCTGAGGAAGGGAACAGTCCATATGTATCCTGATGCATGCTCAATAATCCATTTAGAACAATCTAACCAGGTTAAGTCAGGTCCTCTGGATGGACGCTTCTTTGTTGAAACCTTTTGTCTTTTATCCAAAAGACTGTCAGTCTGAGAAGCTGCAACAAACTCTGTCCTATAAATAGCACCTTCTCATAGTGGATCAACCAGTTTTCTGGTGACATCCAGAACTAGCTGTTCCCGTGCAAAAAGAGGACCATCAGCCTAACGACCTAATGCCCCAATGGCTGTTTACTATTCACAGAGGGCTGAGTGATACTAGCAATAACAGCATTGTAAGAGGGGGACAGTTGAACACGGAGGCCTCCACCCCTGTTTAATGATGGATGATTTCTTTGCACAAAGATGGCCTCCTTTACTCCTCTCTCAAACCATCGTTCCTCTTTATCAAGGATGTGAACATCTTCATCCTTGAAAGAGTGACCGCTGGCCTGGAGATGAGTGTAGACCTCAGAGTCCTGGCCTGATGATGTTGATCTTCTGTGCTGGTCCATCCTTTTGGCCAGTGGCTGTTTAGTTTCCCCGATGTAAGACTGATCACAACCCTCCTGACGCTGAACAGCATAGTGCCTTGTAGATTAAAAAAAAGTTCACTAGAAGTTTATGCCCATAACAATCTTTTGTTTGATAGAACGCAGTTTTCATACATTGACAATTCTTTAAGCCCCCAGTATACTGTCGCGTACGTCCGTTCACGCGTACGTACGCGTGTACTGTACGCAGATGGTTCAGACTTCGTACTCGGGCATACAGACAAGGGGTGTTTACCTTCAGGACAAATTGAGGTCACTGATTGGTCATTTGCTGACACGCCTACTGGTTTGATTAACAGGTCGGGGGAAAAAAAACAAAACGAGTGCTGGCAGCCTCAGCCACAGCGGTGTTCTGTGTTTATATGTTGTTAATAAAAAGATCTAAAAAAAACAAAAAAACAGGGAGCGCTAGCTCTACAGCCCACACATCAGACCAGCCCACCAGGAAATCTCCAGACCCTCCCGCAGCCACGCTGGACCTGAGTTTAATTCGCTCGTGACAAATTCCTTCATTTTTTTTTCATTTCATTTAGCCTTTATTTATACAGGTTAGTCTCATTGAGCCACGAGAACTCATTTTCAAGAGAGACCTGTTTTAGGGAGCACATGGTGCTCCCTAAAATTTCTCATCATTTCAGTCATGGCATCAACGGAGGAGGAAGAGATCACTGCCTCTTGGCAAAAAAACAAAAGAAAAGGCCAGATCAGGGATGAAGAAGGGGAATTTAATACATTGGTGTCGCATACAAAACAGTCCATCAGTTTATTGTGTGACACCGCTTACGCATATGCGGTCATAGAAATTGAGCTTTGCACGGACATGCCCTGGGGGGTACGCTCGTACCTCTGCGTACGTATGTGCGTACCTCTGCGTATGGACATACGCGGCAGTATACTGGGGGCTTTAGGCTTAATTTCTAATATGCACATTTGTCTGCCTAGTAGCAGTGCTGGGTGCACCTTAGAAAAGGAAAAAATCACCATGGCAACCTCTGGCTCAGTAGTTCAGCAGGTTATTTTTTTGTTTAATTATTTTATCATAGATGTTCTCATAAATCTTGTTTAATTTATAGCAAATAAATTGTTAGCATTAAGAACTGAATAAAAGCCTCTGCAGATTTATTTAAAATGTCAAAGTGCAAGCAAACAAAAAACAAACGGCTTCTTAATATACAATTTGTTGATGCTATAAGAGTCTGGCTCTTTCATATCCTAGATTATGTCATGCCAAATTACTATTGGGCGTTATAGAAGTTGTTGATGTATGTCGGAGTTTCTGGCTCTGGCACTCCACAAAATCACAAGATATTTTCTAGACATATAGATGTAACATGTCTTCTTTACTCCTCAGGTGTTTATTGTCCATACACATGACTTAATAATGTTGAAATAAGCTTGCAGGTCCCATAAAAATGGCTTTATTTGTACAACAGCCTAGGCTGTATTACATAGCATAATATATTGTATTTTAATGTTACAGGAATCTCTGTGAATTTTAAAAACTCAGTTTCTTCTTTTTTGTGCACCAAGAGTGGAGACAAGCGCAGAAGAAGTGTAGCAGATGATGGAACGGGAGTAAATCGTGGACGTTGGAGTAGCCTTCATCGCCTCACATTAGAGCACCTCATCCCTGCGAGAAGGGCCTGGTCAGGGGAGGAGCTTAGAATGACAGAGACTGAAGCCAGAAAGTTATCTCTTCCCAAAAATCAGTCCTGCTCAATTCTCCCTCGTTATGGGTCAACAGGAAACTGCCATGTGTGTCCTCAAAATGCAAGACTTTGGAAGCAAGAACACAACCACTCAGCTCCAGCTGTCTTTAGTCTTGATGTTTGTTCTGGTAAGAGGAAGCATGGAGCCAGTCATCAGTCCATTATTTTAATCATTCCATTGTCTTTAACCAAGTTGTTGATGCCAAAATCACAAATATGAAAAAGGGAAGGGAACCAGCACATCATTCCTGCGTTCATTCATCTTTCCTGGAAGTTTCCATGTTGCTTTGCTGGTTCTTTTTTATTCAAATGCTAAAAGGCATCATTTCATTAGTCTGTTTTTATTTTATTTTATTTTTTAACCTCAGAACCATGCTCAAACCTCATTTCATCCTTCATATTTTTCATTGACGAGGCAAATTAACATTATTTTCAAGCATACCTTTATTTGATCTATTTCTTAACTTTTTTACTTTTCTTTCTTTGTTCTTACATGATGCTAAATTTCAGAGAGACCAAAAGCTCACAGGAAAGAAGGTGCCTCTTGCAATGGAAGCAGTGATGACTATGCTTACCCTCCTCCTCCAGTCCCTGCTTACAGTATCAGTCTTCCCAATTCTCCCCTTTTATATAAAAAGGATTCAAGCGGAAGAGAATCAAGGATCATTACCACATCTGGTCAGACCTTGGTTAGAGTCCACACAGCACCTCCAACTCCTGGTACTCAACACTCAACACAGCAGCAAGGAGTCAGCACTCTTCCTGCTACTGACAGAAAACACTGGTGTCAAGCTGTACCTTATAAAAAACACCAAGGAGAACCTTTAAACCATACATATATGCCCAACTACTATACTGATCCTCAGCACAATAAATACCATAACCAGCCAAAACGAATCCAAAAGAAGATGCAACAGAAACATCACCAGCCCTCTTTGCCTCTTGAGATCAATAAAAACTGCAGCATGGAGGAGCTCAGGACCACCGTTCACACAGTGGCTAGCAGCGTTGAGCACAGCAGTCAGGACGTCCGACATCTTGGCAAAAAGATGATGGCAGCAACAGAAATGATTACAGACAAAGTTGAAGAGAATGCCCAAGCACTCAACCTCCTCGCTGAAATGATCGACAAACTCCAGGGGATCGTTGTGGCTGAGAAACACCTGGAAGCACCTTCCCCATGCAGACCAAAATTACACATTCAACCAGTTCCACCTCCAAGGGGCTCCTCACTATCTCCAAAAGTGATCCACAAACCTTCAACACTTTATCCACGCCCTGTCTCACCTTCCTCTTCCTCATCGTCTGCAGGTTCTTGTTTAGATGGCTTTACATTGTCCCAGAGTCCAAAGTGGTCGAATGGAGGGGCCAAAATTAAAAAGAGAGCAGTAGATTGTGATGTTAATGAACATGTTAGGGTAAAAAATGAACAAGCTTCAAGAGCTCAAAAGGAGGACCAACAAGACACGGGCTGCTTAAAAATAAAGAAGAGGAAATAACCAATCAGCTTGTGAAGAAACTGTTCTTGTCTGCTTCGACTATGGAAAGAAACGAGGACTCTTTGGACCACAATTTTAGAGCTTATTTTACTTTTATG